TGTGGTAGAAGCAATTCCGCTATTTCGGCCAGATTCAAGTGACAGTTGTTGGCTGATCTTATACGCAATTAATTGGGCGCAGTGTTTCATTTCAGACTCAATCAACATTTTATCTGGATTCGGATGGCGAGCTGAATGCACGCAGCCTGGAAATGCCGGCCGCTGTCTCACCCAATACCGATATTCTGAAGAATGCGGAGGAAATAATTGGCAAAATAGCGGAGGAGACTCAGGCGGCGAAGGCGCGTGTACTCGAACATCATCCGGCCAAAAAAGTCATTGACAAAGCGAAAGCCTCACTCCGGTTCATATCTCTTTCACAATAATTCTTCAAAAACAGAGCTAATTTTTACAATATGAGGCATTTGGATCACTTGTGCTTCATAATCTTATTTGCCATCAACGCATCTGCTAACTTATTCAGTTGCTTTGACCAGTGCTGCATTGCTTGGTGGTCAGCTTGTTGGCAGTCTTTACTCTATCTTCCCCACCGCCATTCACTATCAAATTCTATCCTTCCAGCCTTAAAACATATGGAATTCAGCTGTGCCGAATTTCCTTTGGTTTGCACGGTCCCTTACTTTACAAGGTATGCTTCGGCCTACCTATGGCCGCAAATTACCACTTCGCAGCTTTGATCTCCTCGTCGATTCTGTTTGGAACGACTAATTTTGACTGGCTTCGTATGGCCTTTTTTATTCTGTTTCTACTTAGTTCATCTCTTGAAGGGATTAGTAATTTAGCTCAGCGGTCCTTCCGGTTGACGCATTTGACAAGATTTTAGTGATTTCGAGATAATGGCTGTCTATGCAGCTGACTTTTTATTATGAAAACGCTTAATAATCGCTGTTACGAGCTTACAGATTTTGATTACATGTAGCGATGATTTTGATGGCTAGAGTTAAATGTCGTAGCGGATCAAAATTTCTGTTCTAGGGCTTGTTTAGCGGCGATATAAGCTTTTTTTTTAAGTGATCCAAAAATTATTATAACCAGCCAGGGCAACATTGGTAGCTAAGGCGATTGATGTACGGATTCTCATAGGATTATTTGGATTGTTTGTTGCTCTGCACGCACCTTCTGTGAATTATTTTTGGTTTGATATGCAAGGAAAAAAGCATTTTCCGGTTTTATTTCAGACGATGTTCATTGTGGCAGTATGTGAATTTAGAACAAATTGAGGGTGAAGCAACACTTTATAACATTTTTTCCACAAAATCGAATTATTAATTTGAACAAATCTTTGCTTGTTTGTCGTGTTGAGCGTAAAATGCTTTGTTTCAGGCTTCATTCATCAAATTCGCCTGGCCCTCCACGCTGCGAGCAATGCGAAGTGGTAAGAGATTATGTTTTTTTTTT